TAACTAGGAATAACATTTTTATTAATTCCAATAATCCTTAATAGATTGAAAATTCATTGAAAAATCAATTATCATTCATCATGAAAAATCTAGTGACAGGTTTTAATTGACATTAAATTTAAACTCACTTGGATATTCAAATGACTTCATGGCGGGAATTCCAAGGAATTCCTGACAGTTCAATTTCATAAGATTAACAATTTTCTGAAAGACTCGATTAAGCGATGACTAACAAACTCGAGCAACTAGCATCAACTAAAAACCGAGATTATTTCCAACGGATATCCTTTATTATACTGTACACCTCGATTTTTCAAATGTTTCACGTCCATCAAACGGACGTACACCAATTGGTAATTGAATAAATCGAGAAATGACGGATGAAAATGGAGTGTACCATAAAATCCGCGACACTTTCCCCCGATGCGTTCCGCAATCACGTAAGTCATTCACGTGATGTCTTTTCTAATTTTCCTTTCTTATCCAGAGAGAACGTGACGAATAAAGTATCTTCCAGAGAGTAAAACATTTTAAAATAAACGCCTACCCGGAATTTGTCACAGCGATCAGCTGTTGAATGGCCGTTCCTCGGACAAAAATTCCACCGATATATTGAGGAGAATAGAATGTATTATTAACGGCTCGGTACACTAGATCATTATTTGAATTGTAAATTCGGGCAGCGGTACATGAAATAGTTGTACAGGTCGATGGAGTACAGCTATTGTTGAAAGATAGGGAAAAAAAAAATAGAGAGAATCCTGAAAAAGTACGGAAATTACTGAATACACGAGGAGAAATCCCGAAAAAATATATGTACTTGCATCAAGTATATTTTGGATATATATAGCTAACAATTTCAATTTTAGTGTATATTTTTTCGTTGTGAAAGTCTTTGGAGATGACGGAAAAGAGAGTTTGTCGTTGAGCTACTGGAAATGCCACTGGAATGTGAATTTTTTACTTCATTGGGTCGTTCCAACTTCTCCAGGGAGAATGATTACTCAAGACAACGCAATTCCGATAATTCGCGTACTTGTATTTCATCGAGGACTTTCATCAATTAAATTTTGACGTAAACGTCTCGGACTAGTGCCGTCTGAATTTACACCCAATAATTTGTACTCAGAAGGCCATACTGCAATTCTTGTTCTCCACTGTTCACCACTCCTTATCACATCTTGAGGTATTTCCGGTGAATTAACAAATTCCAACTGATGGAGAATATTTTCTCATTCAATGGATCACCGCGCGGATTTCCGTTAAAGAAAATACGTGTATATTTGCACCTGGGGGGATGAGGCCCTTTACCTTCCTCTCGTACATTATCTCCCACCATGAACACCTGACAGGAAACAATTATTGGGGTTTCTTGTCACATGTCTATCGGGCGTACGTCTCAGATTAATCGTCGCTCGATCTATTTGCGATCAATCCTCTCGTTTGCTGCATAATTGATGGAATTTCATTAGATCGTAGAAAAATCAACCTGTGATTCCCAATTTTCATTCAATCCTACCCCACGTTGGCCTTGAAATTACTTTTTCCTCGTTACCTGCACGATTACCAATTGAATTCTATTTCAACTTGAAATCTCCACTGAATTTCTCGTTCCCTTGAAAATTGCGGAGAATCGTTTTGTGTTTTTGAATTTTTTGGGAAACCTAAACCTTCAGGATCATCAATTTTTAAAATAAAATCCTCAAATATTTCCACTGAAAATTCTAAGAAATCGAAAATTCATCGATTTTCTCGTTTTCTGACCTTAAAAAACTGAATTCTCAAGAAATAAATGATTAAAACCTCAAATATTTTCCCTTAAAATCCCATAATATTAAAAATTCCTCAAATATCTCATTTTGTAAAATAAAAAATGAAATAAAGACTGAAAAAGTTCAAGTATTTTCACTTGAAACTTCAAGTGCAACTGACAGAAGAATTCTCAACACTGACGTAACATAATTGACGATTAGTTGATGAATAATCGAGGAAAATGACGCCGACAGCGGTGGGTGTTCTTTCCTCGTTGAAGATTGCGTATGCACCTGCATAATTCTGGTTGTAACGCGTGATTGGACTTATGACAATTGCCATATCCCCACCAGGGCCTTCAGTTTTGAAATATTCACCGTAAAATGGTCTCGAATTTCGTTCCTCTGATTGAATATTCAAATAGTCTGAAAACTGTGTTAATGTATCCATGAGAAAATGAAATAAGCGGAGTACGAAGAAATGATCTCCGGTTGTGTATGCAATGGTCGGAAGAGAACCGGTGTGGAAAAAAAAGTCAGGACAAACCGGCATTCAAGGAGATCTCACACACAGGCCGTTGACTCGGTGAAACTTTCGCCGGGGCGCTTTCATGTGGAGCACCGGGTGTTTTACCTGTGTATCAGCCATCGTTACATACTCCAATCACTCCGCAATTCACTTCAATTGCCCATGGAAATTCCCGAAATAAACGGCCAATCAATATCGACTGAGCAAATAAATCAAAATCACCGCAAGCCACTGCAACAAAAAAAATCAGCCTAAAATTAACAAATTAAATATTTAATTAAGGCTCGGGTGGATTATCTAGAAAAGATAATTTACTCCGAAATTTGGATTCCTAATTACTTTGGCAATTAATCGTTTTTTTCAATAATTGGTAACTAGCGTTCTAGCGGTTGTTAACAACTAGACTAACAATTATCGGAAAAAACGATTAATTGACGGAGTAATTAGAAGTCCCAATTTTGGAGTAAATTATATTTTCCAGACAGTCCATCCGGGCCTTAAAGAAATTGTTTAAAACAACTGATTGAAAACAAATGATTAGGTTTTGATTATTGAAGGATTTTTCAAGATGAATGAGAAATTTATTGCAAGCCTTGAATCGAAAATTAATGCAAATTAAAGTGACCGGAAATTTATCTCCATTAAACAATTTGTTCTGATTTTCATTTTAGTTATTTCGTCGGGGAGACAACATTGAATAAAAACAACATTTGCCAAGTAAATTGGATAAAATCAATTCAAGATTAAATTTTAATCAGTGAAGGGGGAGAAATATATAAATTGTAGGAATAAATGAATCCCTCTCGCATTGGGATTCACTGGAAAGATAAATAAAGAATATCGAGCGAATACATGACGTTGCGTTAAAGAAAATTCATGGAACACGAGTGGGAGGCTCTAGAGTTTTAGTGAAAAACCTTGAGCTAAGGCCACCGATTTTCCCCCCAAGGCTATTCATCTTGACTAATCTAACTCCATCAATCGATTAATCCAGGTATAGAGACCTGGGGAACTAAAAACAAGTACAAACCGTTGTCACGAGTAGAAAATTTATTTCAGTCATTCCACTGATACCTCATTGTCTCCATTACACAATCCCACATATTGCAAATTAATATCCAGATATTAATACTCCCTATTTACCCTGAAGACATTTTTTTCGTAACAGTTTCGTAACTGCGCACAGTAGCGACTATTTCGAGAAATTCGTCGTATTTTTCCAAGCAGAAACCATCGAAATGACATTATATAGATATTATGTACATAATGTATATATAAATGTATGTACATTGTATTCAGTCACGTGTGAGGCAGCCGATCCTCAATCGACATCGAGAAAAAAAAACCAATTCTCTCCAGTTATGATGAAGCACGTGTTGTTTATTTATTTACTTTTTGCTGGAATCGATTGAACTAATCGAGATTCTAATCGAAAGACACCTAGACTGAACGTGTGTTGCTCCTTGAATCTCCAGTTGCTCTGATGATTGAGAGAAAAAAATTAATAAAAAATTGATGAATGCGTTTCGATGCAATTTATGTCTCGTTGAATCGAATGTTTCTACTTACATTTATCGTATTCCAGCAATAACTCCGGCATTCAATATTATTGTTATTATTGATGTTAATTATTGAGATGGTATTCCTCTAAAGGGATCGCATGGGCTGAGATTGATAATTGATAGACGCATTCGACCGATTTTTTTGTTACCATTAATATTTTTTCGTCGACTCAGCAGATTTTTTTATTTCTCTGCAAAATCGTTACTTCACACTGGGGATTTCTTATCAGAGAAATTGCATGATCAAGATCTATGGCATAATATCACGCAAGGGGAGGGCTTTTCTCGACCCTTCCATCCGATTTACCAGCAAAATGAGGAAGAAACTGTTTAACAATAAGTTTAATCCTCAATAATAAATTATTTCAGGGTATGACTGGTAAAATTGGCAATTGGTTCATTGCTTTGATGAATATTTTTAAACTATGAACGGAAATTTTTAATGAGCAGCAATTGACGCACACTGTTAAAGCATCTGATACCATATTCCCCTTAAAGCGGAGGTGATTTTATTGCAACGAGTTGGATCGTTACTATTAATGATTTTTTTGCACCGCCGAAGGTGAAAGAAAAAGCGCAAGGCAAATGAGAAGTATTTTCTTGCTATTGAACAAGCAATATCCACAACCATTCATTAATTTTACATACATTACCGCACTTGTGTTGATCGATTAGTCTTATTCAGAAATAATTGAAACCGTACAATCTTCAGGGGTGCATTAAACATTAGAAAATCGTATCGCATTAAAAATCTATATTTTGGCAATTAAACATTTTTTAAAATGTAAAAATTGGCCTATTGTTTATAATATTGAGTGCATAATATTGGTATTTGTTTATCAAATATATTGTTGCTCTTGTTATAAATTTTTCCTTGGGGTCAACGGAATTCGCGACACGTTGTGGAGTGAAGCCGAAGGACTTGTATATTTTTTGAGTAAATTGAGGATTGTCTATGAGGACAAACATTTGGAGAGGATTTAGCATTTGGTTTTTAAATATTTCAAATATTTTTATCGACGAGGAAAATCCAAGGGTTTTTTTACGACCGCCGCGATAAACCGCCGGATACCGCAAAGCCATCGAAAAAAAGATTTTTCACTGTTAAATTGAGGAAAACCGGTGGATTTATTTAAACATTTGTCTCTTTGCTTTCAGAAAGCCACAAGTTACGGAAAATGGTCTCCCATACCAATTGAGCGAGCATTCTGTGAAAATTGCTCTTCTGTGCTTCAGTTCAGCTGAAACCTGTTGGAGATTCTGGATAATTTAGGAATTGCCATGTAGAAATCAACGAGGAATCTGAGATGATTGGCTCATTCGAGTAAGTTTGAATACCTCAGAGAGATTCAATCTACCGGGAGGAAAAAAAAAAAAGACTGAACAGATCTGCGAGAAACCAAAACCCGAGATGAAGACAATGGGTGATGTTGTGGCTGCTCCAGTCGAGGAGGAATTGGTTGAAGACAACAATCACAGCAGCTCCGGTGGGAAAGAGCTGGGGCACAGAACCCTCAAGTCCCTGAAGAGGGGACTTGGAAAATTATGGAGAAGACACAGGGGCAATGCCTCGATAACCGAATACGATCCTTGCTACAAGGTTGCCTATCTTGGAAATGTACTCACAGGATGGGCCAAAGGTCAGTCCAGTACATTTTATTCTATTATTATTATTTTATTATTATTATTCCTCCTGGGTCTATACGGGACAAAGTTGGTATTCAGAATTTTAGTGCTGTCTTGACGTTTTATGACTTCACACTTCCCACTTTTATTTTCGATTCCTCCAGTGTTCCAATATTATCAGCTGATAAAAAAAATTGTTATCCTCCCTCAAACGATTTTTGTTTCAATCTCGAATACTCCCGCCTCTTTACCTCTGATATAATTCCACTCGATCCCAAACTATTACAAGATTGCTCATGTGTCAAAAACCGGTTTAACTTTTTTACAACAGCGACAAATGCGAACTCAGGATATGAACAACCTTGTTCGTAATTATTTTTCAAATATTTGTTTTTCACGTGGTGCGTACATGCATAACCAGTATATTTTCCAATATCAATATCAGCGACAAAGAGGAAACAGTTTTTTTTTTTTCGAGTATAAAATCCACGGACGGAGGGAAATCGCTGTTTGTCGGTTAAAAAAAGCCGCGTGGAGCGCGTAATAATCATTTGACCAGACGAAGGTCGTGGTCTGGCCAGGTGTCCTCATTACAACAGTAATCGAAGCCGTTAATCGCACCGGACCTGTCAATTTCCATCCTGAACTGCAATTCAAATTCCTCCTCCTGATTGGAAATCAGTCGACGCCTGTGCGATACCGGAAGTGATAAGTAAACAATTGTCATTGAAAATTCCAGGCAATTTCAATTCTCCGCATGTATCTGAGCCGAAGTTATTCGTTTCGGGTCCATATACGTGGACAAATGATTAATTATTAATCTCGTCATTGTTCCACTGACAAATAAAGTATTCAACGATTTTCCATATCTCCAGTGGCACAATCCCCTGAAGGCCACTTACGCCAGTTTTTTATTGTCTCATTTGAAATTCCAGGGATCATTGATCTGTCAAATAACCCATAATAGTTATTCCCTTCAGTTGCAATCTTTACGTTCATTTTATCGCTTCACACCGACCACACGAAGCGATTTTTACTGTTCTGTTCTGTTCATCTTCACGCAGCAGAAATTGAAAAGATAATAGAAAATATTCTCCTGATAATCGAGTAATTTTCAGAGACTCTCTGATTTTTCTACTACGCATTTGACACAACTGGGGCTACAGCCTTAAATAATCCACGTCATTACGGTACGTTTCTCCGCAGACATCTGATTTGCTTAATTAATTCTGCACGACAACCTGACGGGTTTCGCGGAATTCTCGAAGGATCAGGAATTAAGAGATAATCTCGGTATCAATCGCTCCAACTTCTGCGATTCTGTCCCAGGTTCACTCACCTCTTCATTAAATATTTCTTCATCATTTCCGTAATTACATTTTTTATATTATTTAACGCCTTGTTGAGAGTCTTCAAAGCTTCTGGCGATTTCCATTCATCAGATACACCGAACAGTTAATTTCGAGTGGTCGATCACTCGTCAAGATCATCTAATCAGTTAATCAGAAAAAATAGATTCACTTATCGTTTTTACGTGAGTGAGAGATAAATTTTCTATTATTAGAACTCCTGCGACTTCTGAGTGGCAAACAAAAGATTTTGTCATTGAAATGCATCGCATGATCACCTGGTTATTTATAAGTCATTTGTGCAATTTGTGAGGAAAGAAACAATTGTTAACAACTTATTTGTTCTGATAGCGTATCGTCTGCGTACTGCCATTTTTAATCGATCCCTTCGTTTCATTTGTTGAATAAAATAGTTCGATTTCATTGATAACTCGCTATCAACAGCATTACTATCACAGTATTTCTCAATCAATGGATAAAACTCAATGAGTGAATACTACGAAACTGAACCGGAAGATTGTTTTATTCCCAATTTTTTTAATTTCCCAATGTTTAAACAAACATCAATAGATAATAGATAAATTAAATCTTTAACAACTAGTCGATTGATAATCTGTCAAGATAAGAAGACAATTCTAATTGTAAAAAATTCGAAAAATGATTTCCCTTTCGCAACTATCAATTTGATATCGAATAGATAATTCAATAATTTAGTATCAATAACTGAATAATTGAAGATCAATTGTTTACTTGGAGTCTGGAAAAAGAGAAAACAGTAATAAATATAAAACAGTCATTCAGCCTTGGACCAAGCATTATTCTTCTCACTGCGTTATCATGAAAAATTTAAATCCCCAGTTTATCTTCGAAAATTGTCATTGATAATTCGGTATTATCTCCGAAAAAAAATTTAATAAAAACAAATTTATTGGCCGTGACACGTTTTTTTTTTTGGGTGACGCAAAATAGTGGAATAAGAAGCCATCGACTAATTTATAAATAAACATCCAAAATATCGTATCGGTGAAGGTTTGGATTGCGAGGTCAGAGTATTTCCCTTTCATAAATCCAGGGCCGCATCCTTGGCATTGACATATGAATCACGATATAGATCAACATCTCAATGACTCAGGAAATAAAAAATGAGTGAATTCGTTGAGTTGTGATAAAAGGCAGTGAATTTGTCACTGAAATCTTCTCGTGTAGTTTCTATTTTCGATCATTTAAAGTGTTCAATAGCTGAAACGAGAGAGAGCTGTTGATTCATGCAACCTTTCTCCTATTCGGTCTGGTGAATATCGAGGAGAAAATAATAGTACTTCCGATTTGAGCTAGGCTCCTTTCGTGGGAGATGATTTTTTTTCTCTACTTTGTATTCAACATTTGGCAATCGTGCAATTTTCCTACAGCCCGAGGTGCACGGAGAGACCAAGTACTTCTGCCAAAGATAATTTACATTTTCAAATTGAACTGCAATGAAACTAAATTATTCCTCTTATTTTCCATTATTTTCTATTACTCAACAACAGCACCATTTCTCTGAGAAATTCCAATAATCATTCGTAATATTTTGTAATTGGAATTAAATAATGAATAGATAAATAATTGATATCGCGAATGAATATGAATAATGAATATTTTTAGCACAAATAAAATTCTTAATATCATCCGAAGTCTTTGCAAAATCGTCAGTTAATGGAAAATAAACTAAATGATTTACCAAAGAATAAATGAATAAATAAACAAAAGGATTGAATTTATTTGGGAAAATAACAGAAATCTAGTGTTAATTTATTAATATTTTTATAATGCGGGCTGAATTGAATTTTTGATTAATTACTCTCTGAAAAAATTGTGAGGCCGAAGCAAATGCTGTCAATTACAGTTCCTCCAGGTAAAAGAAGACAGTGCAGGTGATTTAATTTTTCCTGGAAAAGACCAAAGAGTAACTGTCGTCTCCTGCAATTCTCCCCTTCATTTTCCCATGCCTCCCACGTAGATGACGATCTGCTCTCCTCGTTCTCATATTGGAAATGTAGAAATTTTCCTAGGACTCAGTCGCCTTGATTCAGCTATTTCCAGTTCTATTTACTGCATCAGTCCTAAAATAATATCCACATGAATTACCTAAATATAACATTTTCTGGCAGGTTCAAGTCCACCTGTCGCATGTTAGTTATAAAATAGTCAATCAACGGTTGAACAAAGTTACTCAATACCGCGATGATTATTTAAAAAACCCCTCATCGTTGTAAATTCATTAGATTTTTTATTGGCAGTTCTTGGAGGGCTATTAAGAGAGATCATACAAACATGACCCCTTGTGTTACCTTTTTTTTTTGTCCTCGCGGTGTTTTGCTCGCGCGATTGATTGAATTTATCGTCTGTCATCACAGGTGAATTGCATCAGGAAAAATTCACTCTAATAAACTCAGGAATACCGTGAATATGACTTTAATTCGCAGAAATGAATTACCAGGTCACTGGGTAATTGTAAACGGGGAAAGTCACTTGTTAGATTATTGTTATTTGCTGTGAACATATGTCTGCATCATTCTATTGAGAAAAAAGTCAAGTAGAGACTAATGGTTTTCTTTCACTTCTGCGTAGAGATTTTTTTCATGACTTTCCGCGCAGTTTGGAATTATATTATTATTAAAAAAAGGCCATCTGATTTAAACAATCGCTGAATTCTGAGACTTATCCCAAAAATTAAAGACCACATACGAATAAATTGTGAATGATCTACAATTTTTAATTTTTAATTTCGAATATTCTCAATGTTTTATAGATTAAAATAAAATATTATACCTAAAAATAGAATTTTAGATGTTAGCATCAAGTTTTTGGACTTTCAATCTCAATTCCAAGATTAACAAATCGAAAGGAATGAACTCTTGACATAATAAACTGAAGGAGGAAGTGATGTACGTTGAAGAGTCGAGAGTAATTAAAGTTGACTTTGTTTATGAATTAGGTGATGGGTGTGTGGAGAAGCCAGTATCAACCTTGTGGCGTAATTACGTGAGCAGCAATAGGCCGGACGTGACGATGAGACTGACGGTGACGAATGGTGGATTGACGGCCACAACCAAGGACCACGGTCTCACCGAGTACTGGGCACATCGTGTAACATATTGTACAGCACCAGTATCCCATCCACGTTTATTCGTCTGGGTATATCGACACGAGGGTCGTAGACTCAGGCCAGAATTGAGATGTCACGCTGCCCTATGCTCAAAGGAATCCACAGCAAGAAGACTTGCTTCAACCTTGAATGCTAGATTACAACAGGCATTACTTGAATTCCGCAGGGACAAAGTTTCAAGGCAAAATGCCAGGTGAGTCACTCCATTTGTTATTCCAATTCCATTTCAACTACTTATTAATTACATTTAAACTACATTTAATTAGATAAAAACTCCTGATCTTTCTCTGGTATTTCACAAATATCTGGAGATTCCTCGATTTATTCGTTGAGTTGTGCAGTATTTGTATCGGGGTCGAGGGAATTGTAAGTAAATTGTGAATTCGAGACACGAATCCACGGGGTCTTACAATTCTTATGGTCATCAAGTCACGAATTGGGTCGTGAGGGTATCGATCGTTGATATCTTGGTACCTCATTCAGAGCGAATTAGCATTAACAAAAATCACTCCAGGATCGAGTGATTATTTATTTTTGGTGAATTGCATTAAACTGTTGCAGACTCTCTCTTGCGAATGCGGTGTACGAGAATCCATCGCTTCCAAGGAGAAAAATATTGCTCAGTACTGGGGGTCAGAATTACAGGCCACCATTGGAGAGATCCAAGAGTGCACCAAAATTATCAGCCATCGAGGAAGATGCTGCTGCTGAGGAGATCGAGCAGAAACGATTGCTCGAGGAGCTGAGGTACCTTTTGCTTATCTCTTCATTTTTAATCTCTTGTCTCGTTGTTTTAATGGCTTCCAGGGCCAATAATTAAGTTGAAAATTCATCGGGTGACGTTGATTGATGCGAGGAAAATTGGGGAGAGGATAAATATGATGTGGCGTACAAATTAATCCCTTTTGTAGGTCACTTGAGAATGTAGCACGGAGTTGGCAGGATCAGGACGGTTGGAGATTGGCTCGTCTTGTTGATGCGTTGAATCGCGCCGGCGCCTCGAGCGAATACTTGGACGAGAATGGAAGTATCTCGAGCGGATGTGAAACAGCAAGTACATCGAACAGCGAAGAGAGAGCATCGGGGGCTGATGATAATCAGCCAGCAGTCGATGATGCCAGAACTGGCAGGCGTGTTTTATTCGCTGGTGATGTCGTCAGGGCGACTTCCGGCCCCAGAAGAAATTCCGAGGGCTCGCCGAACTTCATGACGTGCGCTGGAAGCCCACGATTTCATTGTCTCCGGGGGCCGAGGAACAGGTACTCCTCGTGCAGGAGTGAAATTCATGAGACCGAGGAGGATATCGAACAGCAGGCCATTGAATCTTCCCATGTCTTCGATTTTGAAGACGCTGAAGTATTCGATGAGGTAATTACTTTATCATTTTTGTAGAATTAAATTTCACTGAAGGAGGAGTTTTTTTTATAACTTATACCTTACAAATCACTGTTTTATCTAGAAAATGAGAAAAGAGAGTTTCAAAGTTTCTGAAATAATGAATTTTAGTTGAATTTTAGTTGACATTTAAACAGTAACTCGTTTAGAATGAAATTATATAAACCTTTGATTATAACAATTTCCTGAGATATTGGATTTTGAGTGAAACAATTCTTTGAGAATTCCGGAGAAATTAAAATGGAAAATATAGGGCTTGAATATTGTGATGGAGTTATCAAGAATTATTCCCCGTAGGTGGTTGACTACCGGCCCCACGGTGAGAGTCCATCGAGACTAGAAAATCCCGGGAGAAGACGAATGGATGTAAAAGGCGAGAAATACCCAACAAGAATGGATCAAGGAGATGAATTGCTGGAGGGTGAGGAGTCCTTCCTGACGCTGGATTCCCTGGACGAAGAGGAAGCAGACAGCGACGAGAGTGGCTACGTCGAGGCACCCCCAAATTCTCTGCTCGACAGAGAAGCCAAGAAAAGCCCAGATCCCGACGGAACTGATCCTCAAAAGATCAACCAGGAATCACCAGGTGTCGAGGACACCAAGGAAGCTCAAGAGTCCGAGAACACTCTCAATCCCCAGAGGTGCCTCAAGGATCGTGAAAAAGTGGATTTCATAAAATGTCCGATATCAGAAACGATAAAGAAACTTGCGAATGCCTCACTGAGGAGCTCAAAATCTCTTGAGATATCAACGAATTCGTGCCTGAAGGCTCTCAACACTCTCAAGAATTCAAAATCATTCGATGATACCAGAGCCACAGGCATCGATTACGATGGAGAATCACCGAGTTTACACCAGAGGAAGCAATTGCTGGCACAGCAGGGAGTCAGAGTTTGATTTTATTGAGAAATAATCGAGTGAATTAATTAACGAGTATCTGGAATATATCTGATCTTACGGTGTGAGCCCTCGAGGGAGAACTAGTCCGCTTCGATATCAGTAAAGCAAAACTGAAATAACTTGAAATAAAAATTTTCCTTTGTATCAGTTTATCTCGAAATCTATCGACTTAAAGTGAAAACACTCAAGGACTTTTTTGGGGATGATTAAATGGTCGACGAAAAAGGTCTTTTCATGTTTTTGTCTGGAGTCGATAGTTTTTTCAATATATCGGTATTTAATCAAGCTGGAAAATTTGATTTGTCTCAGTTTAACTTTTCGCTGCTGATATACATATGTCGACTCGGTAAAATAAGATTTTTCTTTTAAATAGAGTATAGAAGGACCATTGTGCATTGATGTCGTATGACTTCCATCGATATCCATGTTTGTTTAATCGATAGGAAGGAATAGAAACGGCATTTTCCATTGTTGTGGAGTATACTAGGCCAAAGTGTTTGGCAACTATATATTTATCGGTAAGAAGGAATTATAATTATTTTTTTTTATAATTGACGGAAAAAGGGGAATTTGTGATGTTATTTAGATGAACACTCGTTTTACGTGTCTTATGTAGACAACCAATGTGTACGAAATATATTAAGCAATTTAAAATTACAGAAAATTAAATATTTCGTTAATCTTCAATAAAAAAGGCTCTCTGAAATTGATATAGATGTGAATAAATTTGTTGTTAAAAATAATCGACGTTAAATTGAGAGATCAATTAAATAATCTCCAACCGTGCACATTGAATCGCCATTTTTCTGCGAGAATGAGTAATTAGTATGTAAAAAAATTCGAATGTCGATCGTGAAAATTTCGAGGAATATATTTTTGTTTTTGAGTGAAAAATGAGTGATTAAATTTCGTGGATTCTCCTGAGTTGAATCTGAAATACTTGTACTGCAATAGACCAGATCAGAATTATACTAGAAATATTTTATGTTAAGACGACTTTTTATTCTCTCAGTACCTTATTCTGTTGACAGCTAATGTTCCATGGAAAATTCGATATTTATTGATTTCTGTTGCCCCAGACAAGTGCGATTTTTATCTTTCATCCCCTCGACATTCATCGAGGATTCAAACCTGGAAAGAATATTTTTCATTGGCAAAAACAGAACTCAATGATTGAGAATTGTTTGCACAGATGGCGTGCGGTTACAGTCCAGTAAAAGTGATTCCTCTGAGCAAAGAGAATTGACTTCAGTAGAGGCTCAGTTCTGGGGGTGATGCACTCCAAGAGGGAGGTGGGGGCACAACACGCAATGCGGGGGTGTCCATCAAGTCGACGGGGTGAATTTTATTTTTTGCGGTATGAATGCTTTTTGTTTTTTAGGTGTTTAACTGAAATTTAGCCGACTGTAGGACGAGCGGAAGGGGGAAGCCACATCTTGTGGAATTTCGAATGGAAAAAATTATTTAATATATTGAATATATACTACTAATGAAATTTTATCCTTTGAATGAATGTGTTGTCTAATGGGCAACGTGATTGGCTGGCACACGGATGGCCGGGGTTCGATCCCGCCATCATTCATTTTTTTTTTTAAATAATTCCAATTTTTTTTTGTATATGGCTAATCAATGAAAATATCGTTTAAAAACTGAATATTTGAAAATCGAAAAGATATCCAGTGAAATTGAAAAATACGAAATTTTTGAAAAAGTATCAGGGGAACATGAACATCGAGGAGCTATTCACTGAAATTTTCACTGAAAGTGAAAAATTCGAAATTTTTGAAAAAGTATCAGGGTAACATGACCATCGAGGAGGTATTCACTGAAATTGAAAAATTCGGAATTTTCGAAAAAGTATCAGGGGAATATGACAATCGAGGAGCTATTCACTGAAATTTTCACTGAAAGTGAAAAATTCGAAATTTTCGAAAAAGTATCAGGAGAACATGAAAATCGAGGAGCTATTCAGTATTTAACCAATATTTCAATTGATTAGCCATTTACAAAAGAAAAAATTAGAATTATTTAAAAAAAAAAAAGAATGATGGCGGGATCGAACCTGGCCGTCCGCGTGGTAGGCAAGGACGCTGCCGATTAGGCAACGCACTCGATCAAACAATGAAATTCCATTAGTAGTATATATTCAATATATTAAATAATTTTTTCCATTTGAAATTCCATGAGATGTGGCTTCCCCCTTCCGCTCGTTCTACAGTCGGCTAAAATTCAGTTAAACACCTAAAAAACAAAAAGCACTCATACCGCAGAAAATAAAATTCACCCCGTCGACTTGATGGACACCCCCAGCATTGCGTGTTACGCCCTCCCTCTCTTGGGGTGCAGTACTACGATGCCGCTGGGGTCACTCAAACCCCCAGAACTGAGCCTGAGCCTTTACTTTACTCCATCCTCTTTACCTCCGAGTGTTTTGGAATGCAAACAGTTTGTCCCCAGATTTAAAAGGGCATCAGGGCCTTGGGCCCCGCTAATAAACTCGAAATTAATTTCATGACAGCTGCAGTCGAAAAATTCTCATTTTAATTCATATCTACACGTGCAGAACCCAGAAATTCACAAAATGACAGATCGATCTTTAAATCGATGAATTAACACACGATATCTCTAATATCTCTTATTCCCTCATAATTCCCAGTATCGTTATTTAATTATTGTCTTTTTAACCGAAAAAAAATGAAGATCGAACGAAGAAGAAAAAACGAACAGTCGGTGGTGAAGGATGGATCGATTCGAATCGATTGCAATCGATTCTGGCGGTCAGGGTCTAGTTGAAAGTGTCCTTTATATAAATGGTGTAAAGGATTGTTGACTGTGTGATGTTTTTTGGAGGAGATGGAAGAGAATTGAGAGAAAAATTGTAATGAAGGTGGATGGACATCAAGGTAAGAATTTCTACATGAATTTTCCATTTGATGCAATTGCACGGGCGCATGACTCCCCGTGTGGACATTATTCGGATGTTTTCGGCGAGTACATGCATAAGTACATGCATGACCTACAGAGAAAGCATGTGGCACCCACGTACCTCATCTCTGGTATTTACATATATCCCTGGAACCGTTACCATTGTCTCGACCCCAGGACAACTGTGGAAATTGAAACTCAGACAGAAGTCCTACACCTTATGAAATTTTTGTTTAATTTTCCAGAGAAACAAATCTAATCAAATTTACAATTTTCAAGGTCAATTTCATATCAACTTTTTGAGAATTCTCTAAGAATTGTTTAACAATCTGTTTATTCCTAAAAAATCCCCTGGAAATAAAAAATTAAAAAAAAAGGTTTGTGAAATTTTAGAAAATTTCACTAGCCCCTCATTTCCAGGACTTACCGAATATTTTCTCCTGAATTCCAAAACGTATATTTAATTTTTCCCCTATTTTTAATATATATTTTGAACACATAGATTTAATTATTAACAGGAGATTAATTATCAAATTAATCTTCATAATGAATGCTGGGAAAAAAGGTGAGAATTTTCGTGACACCTGTATTTTTTAACGCGGGAATTATTTTGAAAAATGAAAATATTTCCGCGTGGGAAATGGATCTCTCGGATGTTGGATGTTGGATGATAAGGATCCAGCAAGAAAGCTCACGTGTACAATGAGCACTGACATTAATAAATCCGATATACGAGCATTAGTACTTTTCGTGGGAGCTTGGTGTATCCACAAGGGTATACGATCCCATGAGTATGAGATATACCTACACCAGGGTACCGTGAGTGTAACGGCCTTGCTCCATCTAGGTCACGAAACAAGGTCCAACATCGGAGGTGCGAGAGACAGTGGCTGTTGAAATAAACATCAATCCTTATCCTGGATCCATCAGCAAGTCCATTTTCACGACTGATTATCACCCAGAGACATCACCAACACCCGATGCCCCATGGAAGGGAAAATTCACAAAATTCAGATAAAGAAATAAAATTGAAAAAAAAAAAAGAAAAAAACTTGGAAGTTGTGTTGAGTTACGGTGCCAAGAGAAATCGAAGCTGATCGTTAAGCCAGTCGCGACGCCTTACACGTTCCATAAGTTCATGCATGCAAAGAGTTTCCGCCCAGTTGAAAAAGTATCGTTCCTTTTTTTTTTTCTCTCTTCCCGTAATTTAAATGCGATTGAAACGCGCCTGCACTTGACAAGTTCATTCCTCTCCATTGACAAAATTGATTATCCAATTGAGGGATTTCATTCCGATGAATTGAATTGCAACAAGCAGTCTCGTTAAGAGAAAGAGCCCCTGAATTTGCCTTGATCCTGAATGGTTGGAAGGAGTGAAGCAGACTAAAAGGCTTGACCTACTATTGAATGTCACGGGTTCAATGGATTTGTCCCCCATGGGGATCTATTCCATGCAATACACATCGAACGATGTTGATGCCCTGATCGTTCCAGTGGCACGCGAGGCTAGAGTATTATCACCCAAGGGTCATCTCCATTCCTCCCCCAATCCCCACATTTTTTCATCAATTTTTTAATCAATCCTCCGATAGTAATTTATCCTGAAGACCTCATGCCCTCGACGGATGAGCCATCCCCTCTGTCAAATCCGAGAGAAATACGACTTTCATAATTTATTGGATTTCAACCATAACTCAGTTATTGCGTTTGAGGTACATAATGAGAGAATAAAATGGAGCGAATGAAGAATAATCACGATGATGGGAACTTTACCACGGGAATGAAGAGTCTCATTGCTTGGTATGGGGTAGACAAGTGCATGTCTCCCACTCCGTCCACCAGGCATTTGTGGATACTTTCATTGAGAAAAGATGTCCCCATAAAAACTAGCCTGTGAATCGTAACGCTCACATCCTCCAACGCCAAACTCCACCTTGTGCTCAGGAATTTACGAAATTTTCATACGACTTTACCAATTTGTCAATGAATTCCCACAAAACTTCCAGAAGATGTGGATCAACCATCAATGGGTGTCAGATAACCTAATTCGCGAATGGATTAATTAATTGGTAATTGATTCCACTGAATTCATTCGAATCAGTCAAGCGGTTCGATGCCCATTCAGCTGCTTTCTGATAAAAATTGAATAAGAGAAAATAACGAGAATGCCGATATAATGATAAAATATTAACAGGAGTAGTTGAGCTGGAGTGATAAAGTTGAATGGTAAACTTGGGAGATTTCTGTTGGAATAAAGACTCCGCCAGCAGGATCCTGAAGCGCACCAAGGCATACTGAGTAAGTGTGCCATGTAAGTAGAACACATCGGTGCCTGGTACCAAGCAAGTATACCAACGTTCGTCCGTTTCCCCTTTTACATCTTGCCCCCCAGGTTTCCCCCCTACCTTAACCATCCTTCATCGTCCACGCGATCAGTTCGCCTCGTGGCTTGTACCGGTGAAAGACTTTCTTCGAGACACGAATGCCATCAACCATATGCTTCAACGTCCACTCGAGAGAGAGAGAGAAAAACTTTTCTCCAAGGTGTGCAGCCATTGTGGTCGTTTTCTTTTCTTTTTAAACAATTTTTCTCTGACTGTCGGGCACTAGCTAAATATAACGACGATAGAGATCTCTTTTAGCCTCTCAGGAAAATAAAAAATGTCCAGGGATTATTTCCCACAGGGATCCCGCTACATCTTGGATCCACAGCATCAACCGGCAGAATCGGATGCCCCGAAAAATTTGGGTCATCGGCCTCTGAGGTACATAAAAGTAGAGGTAAAAAAAAAGACCGGATAGATGAGTTCTAGCTGTAGTCGACTGATCTTCCAGCCGAGAGGCGTCCACAAATTAACAAAGGATTATCAACAGGTGAATCAATCACTGCGACCAACAATTCAAACTGATACTCATTGTTTCTCCTGAAAATGTGAACCAGGAATAAATGACAAGATTGAAAAATACTTAACAGGCATCGTCGTATAATAAAAAAATAGTGACAAGTAAATTGGGATAAACCGTGAGAAAACTATCAACAACAGATTCACATTACTGTTTTTTTTTCTCCTTAAGCTGATAATTCATATGAATTACAAAATTACTCTAGCTTAATTAATTATTTTAAGTATAAATACAATACTGCGATTTATGATTAATCTTTTTTTTGTTTTCTGATGGTTTGTTTTTAAAGTGACATCCGCTTGTTGCTGTTACAGTCGTGAATTTTTAGTATGATGTCAAGTTCGTATACTTTAATGTCCACAGTGTTGATTTAAAAAATGTTGATGTATAAGGTTCTCTATAATTGTCGATGAGCTATAAAGAATGCGTAGCCAGCTACGCTAGGTACCACGTATTTATTTATTTTAATCTATTTGCGCTCATATTATTTATCTTGTTATTATTTGAGTTGGAGAACGCGTGGAAAATCCAAACGATATAACAAATATTGGGTAATAATGGATAGGAGAAATTGAATAGAAAGAGTGAAATTTAACAGACCCTTTGAAAATGCGGCATGTTGAGATCTGTGGATCACCCTTGATCGGAAGGAGAAAACACAGCCTTGATTTAATTTTTAATCTTCCTCGTAATAATTCGTGTTAGTAGTTTTTCAAACCAAAAACAATAAATCTCGAACTTAATCTACACCGCGAAAATAAATAAATTCATATAAATAAGATAATTAGGTAGTAGGAGATGCGAAAATAATTAAATTCATAATAATTTTTTTTCCATGATCAATCGACATCCTTTATATCTTGTTTATCCATTCGTTCTTTAGGGTAACAAACATAAATATGCATACATAAATAAATTTAGAATGAAGACTGTACAATCGTAATTGGGAGAAGAAAAATTACAAAAGAACACATCCGCCTGAGTAACCGCCAATAAATTATTAAAATTCCTAAATAACAATATACTCGAATAAATTTTCATTTAGAGGGGAAAGATTTTCACTTAGTATTCGTTAATTCACATTACGATAAAACAAAAAAAAACAGTTAATAAATTTTGTCGTTTATTATTTTTCGTTGATTAACCCAAAAATATTGAGGAGAAGGTCAAGCATCATTTGTTGCGATTGTTGCATCTATTGCATTTGTTGCATTTGTTGCATTTGTTGCATTTGTTGCATTTGTTGCATTTGTTGCATTTGTTGCGATTGTTGCATTTGTTGCATTTGTTGCATTTGTTGCAGTGTAAAAGATTTTTCATTAAATTTCATTTGATAACCGATAGTAATCAAAAGAAATTACGATGGAAAAAAAAATGCAATAACAGTTACGGAAAGGCAAAAGGGTAAAATAAGTTTAGAATTGAGTAATGAGCTATTTTACAATAGAAGAAGAACAAGTACCGAGGGGAAGAAAAGTGACAAAAATAAATAATAATGTAACAAGTTGCCGTGAAGTGGTGAATTGGGTGTGGAATTCGGGGGAGAGGACTTTTAAAGATGTCCATTTAAAATACAAATATCATAGATTAAAGTACAGAATATCTAACAACTAGGATAAAACTATATTCAAGCACGTGAGGAACTCTTTAGGTACATCAGTTGGGATCCTACCAAATCACTTGTGAGGCCTTTATCTATCGCGTTATCCCGTATTATGAAAAAATTCACTTGTCGATTTTCCATGAAACATGTATTTAATTCTCCATTAATAATCACCGTAACATGGTAACCATCTCTCGAAGTACGTTGAATTAATCGAAAAATTATGTACACGACAGTCTCTCGGTGGAGAGCAAACGACGATGGAACACTCGCGTATTCATATCTCTTTACAATAACACATACTGACACTCACATTTGTTGCAAACACTCATTAGCCTTTCTATCCGCAGCGTTTATTTAATATATTTTCCTCAAGGTTTCATACCCTGGTTGCGCCCTGAATGTGTATCACACTCTGCGGTAGTACCTCGCACAATCAAATTCAAAAACGGTGTATCATCCAGATGAAGCTGGGCTCATTCTGGATATCAATGCCCCAGATGGGGTATGTCTAAAGCTCATGAAGCGCGAACGCACAGTAATAATCACCGATTATTCATTAATCCCTACCGATTCTCTTGTGAATTTGCTGATGCTTGATGAGATGAGCCTTTTGCCTGAATGCCTTACCACACACCTCACACCTGAATGGTTTCTCACCAGTGTGCGTTCTAAGATGAACCTTGATATTGCTTTTATTGAGAAATCCCCGATTGCAAATTGAACACCTGTGGACGGGCTTTTCTTTTCCCCCAATGAGTCCAGATTCAGTGCCATAAGCGAGAGCTGATGTCGCTGGGCTCTTCTTCGAGGGATTTTGATTGGACGGATTTGGCCGAGATCTTTTTCTCGGATGTGATGGCGCTGGGAATGACGAGTGGAGCAAGTGATCAGGACTGCACGACGTTGATACTCTACCAGGTGGACTAACAGGTGGATAAGGACTCGTTGATGATGGAGTTTCACCGCACGAGGCATTCTGCATATTTGTATTACCAGCCTGGAGTCTTGCTTGTAGCAGTGGTGCATAGCCAGTGGTTAATAGGCTCTGGAGTGTTGATCCGTGCTGGTGTGTCTGACCCCCAGGATTTGTCGATGTGTACATTTGTGAATAGGGACTCGGCGATGATGTCTCGTGGCCCTTGGGCGAGCACGCTGTGTTGATCCATTCAGCAATGTCAATCCAGTCTCTCGATGCATCTGGATCGTGCTCAGAGCCAGGTCCATTATTACTTCCAGGTACAGTAGTATCAGCGATTGCCGAGCCAATAATCTCAGCAATATCCTCGATATCGTAGTCAACCTGTTGGGTTGATTGGGGTAATTGTTGGGGTTGATGATGATGCTGTTGCTGTTGATGCTGCTGCTGCTGCTGCTGCTGCTGCTGATGATGATGGTGTTGCTTTTGACTGGCCTGAGGACATGGTGTACTGGAGGAAACAACGGATGACTCATAATACTCTTGATTGGAGGAGGGAGTCGGTGACGAAGAGGACTGCATAGTTGGTCGCTGCGCCGAGGAGGCTATTGTGTGATAATGATGACCAGGAATGCCATTGATACTGAGATGTCCAGTGTATCCCGTGAACGGTGGTAGGGGTTTCAATTCGGCGAGTGATTGTGCCGATGCAACACCAACAGACGAGCCAAGAAGAAGTGTATCCCAGGCATCTTGAATGCCTCCAGCTGTCTGCTTGACATCCGGTGGCTCGAGAAAATCCGAGCCCGTCGTGCCCCAAGGCAGTAAAAGACTGTCAACTCCGACAACTTCACCAGGTGATGCGCCAATTACCATGCCACTCCCTTGACTGCTGTGCGGTGGTTCAACACCAGTTGATGTCAAGTGAGGTGGTCCCGGTGGTGGACCCGTTTGTGTCTCGTACTTCATGTCAATGGCTATTTCCGATGTTGGTGATACTCGGCTACGACAGGCCCCAGTTCCCTGCTTTATGCACCTCCCACTTGTGCTGATAATATCGTACGGTGACGTTGCGACGAGATCCTCCTCAGATGCCTCCAATACGTTGCTGCACGGTGATGTTGCACTGAGTGAATATTCAACCTTGATACTTGCTTCGTCGATCTGCTGCTCCGTCGACTCCTCCTCTAAATTCCTCGTCGTCGATATACGCGATGTCGATAGAAGAGAGCTCAACAGGGATGTGCAGAAGCCCGAGGACTCGTCACGACGTCCCTGATCCTCGGATTTGATCTTAACGTTGAGAGACGACAGTATTCCAGTCAATGAATCACGTGACGAGGTTGAGGATGAGGGTGACGATGCAGCGATATTGGCTGTCTGAGTGTTCCTTATCCCTGATGATCCTGTCGTGGAGTTGGGTGACGTTGTGTACTCTAGACTGCTCGATGCAGTCGACAAGAGTGTCGCCAAAACAGTGCCGTTCGATTGCACAGTGTGCTCAACACCCTGAGGTACCAGATGCGAGGAATCCCCAGACTTGGGTGTCAGCAGATTGGACAGCACGTTGTCAGACAGATTTGAATTATTTTGATTACTTCCCACAGCATCCGAACACCTTGACAACGAGTCCACCTGACCGAACGTTGGCGATGAGGTAGAGGGACTCGTCGCCGAGGCGACACTGTACGGCGACGTCAAGTTCCTGTTTGTCTGCTGCTCGTTGTTATTGTTGCTACTATTATAACCCGATGGTGACGATAAATATTGATTATTGCTCGTGTTACTGATGCTGTGACTTCCTGGTTGCCCCTCGTCGATCCTTGGTGGTCCTGGCGTGGTGGCTGATGGGAAGAGGGGACCAGGATTCCACCAGGGATCCACTCTACTGCCGGGGGTGCTGCAACCGCCAACGGCGCCGCGAGGACCTGCAACAATTTTTATTTCCATTTACAAAGGAAGAGGGAGAAAAAATATCACTACCTAGATAGAAATTGGAAAAAAAAAAGAACAACAAAATCCAAGTGGAAGGAGAAAAAGAGACTCCGGACTAACTGGGTCAGTAGCACATCTACAGCCACTCGACTTGGCCTAACGTCTCCGTCAAATCAAACACAATACCCACTCTTAATGGAGTCTAAAGTAACATTTTCAACATGCCAATTACATTATTATAAGTCATCAAAAGAAATACGACATGTTTTTAAATTGAAAAGAAGACGGTATTGTTGAGAAAGTGGAAGGATGCGGATGTGGCAAGTAGTTATTCACGTCCACCGGACTCATGCAAATGTTTCACACCAAAAACTGTTTTTGGTACCGCATGATCATTTCAGGGGTCTGGGAGCGAATCATCTGAACCGTCCTTGTCCATAAATGTGGCTCGTTACTCCTCCCGTCCTTGTCGAGAGCACGAGTTGTTATGTCGGTGGGGAATCGTCCAAGTGGTAACGCAACCGGAGCCTCACCAGGTACCGTTATCCAGTGGCGTCGAATCCAATACCCAAACCAATGAGAAGCTAACAAGCCAGTGGGATGATAAAAAAAAAGAGAAGAGGGAGGAAGCCAGGGATTTATCAGGACAGCCTACGACAATGTACTTGAACCACTTATCAATGGGATCACTGGGTATAGACCTCAAAAAAATATATTCAGAAGAAGCCCCTGATTTTATCAACCGTCCTTTATTGATGCAAAAGGAAAAAACCGGATTCACCGTGTGCTACCGATATTTTGGTCAACAGGACTGGCCTGGTGCTCCCATTATCATCAAATAAAATACATATACCAAAAAAGAGAGAGAAAACCACTGCATCTGTCGCGACACCAATATATCCAATACACCCTGGTGTATTATTCATAAAATAATCAATTCAACATTTAATACATCATGAGGATTTTCTACATGCACTGAGAACAGCAAAACAGGCATCTGCGATCACTCGTGCAGTCGACCTACTTCCGCCAGAGGAAAGTGACTCAGCATTCCATTAAATTGTAGGTGGGGAGGGAGATGTTGTGATCCTGAAACTATAAAAAAAAAAGGAGAATATTTCACTCCAGTCTTCCGGATATGCCCGAATAATTTAATGAAGACAGGGAAGGGGGGGGGGGGGGGGGGGGGGGGGGGGGGGGGGGTGCTGAATTTGGAATAAAAATCGGTTGATATCCACGTGCGTTGTGTTCTGGTTAAAGCTGTGCAGACGTGACGCAGGTAAGCACCAACCGCCGTGCAAATAAGTAGAACGGAGCACCGTTAGTCCGACAACAGATAGCAAGACCTCTCCCCCCCTTTACCCCCCCACTTATTTATCCCACCGGTCTCTCTCACTCTTTCATTATCCGTTGTTATTTTATCTCACTCCCACACCAATTTCTTTCCACCTCCTGGTGGTACTGTTGGTTGTACACTGGGGTTTTGTTTAGCGCGTAAGCGCGCGTTATTTGCTTTCCTTTTCATTACGAAAAATGACGCGTACGGATGTGTCTCTATCCGATTGACCCACATCGAAACGAGGAATAACTGGGATTGATCATTCAGCGTAACAAATCATTGGTGATCAATCTTTTTGTCCACGTCGGATTGATCGACGCAGATGATGAATTTAATTACTGGTTGATTACTGATTGATGAGTCATCTGGGAACAGCTGGTTCTAATGAAAAATTTGGTGGCGGTGGTATTGATTTTGGAAATTTGTGTTGTTTCGTGGGATGGGGGTGTTATCTGTATCACTTGTACATAGCGGTATTAAAACCTGTCGCAGGGTTTGTCGATACAAAATGAAGAGATGTTAATGCAATGTGGGCTTCGAGTGAAATTAATGAGGAATTCTGTTGATACAGAGGGTTCAGGAGGAACAAGTGGGTGCCAACAGTGCGGTGAGCTCGATGCTCGAGACCTGCACAGGCGAGATTTATTTGTCACGTGGACTGCGTTGAGAAAATATTGTTGAATTGTTCGAGGTGTGACGAGTATCATCGGTGTTGCAGGAGGAAATGAAATAAAACATAAATAAAAAAGGCAATAAAAAAGAAATAAAAAAGAAATAAAAGAGAAATAAAAAAGAAGTAAAAAAAAAAGAAAACGAAGGTAGAGGTAAAAAATGGTGGGCCCTACTTGAAAGTCCCCATTTTGCACAAGTAGGACAGACTTAATAGGGCTGACTCTTTCACCTTGAGCCTAGGCAAACCGTAAAAATCTTTCTAACGGTACAATTAGGCAGTGGGCCACATTCACGAAATTCATGGCACGCGTTCACATATGTATAGTCCATATGTGGGCATTGGTCCCTCCGACGATTAAAAGAAATCTGCATGAAATTTCAATGAAACACCGTGGCAGTCCAATGACAATCCTCGGAGTGTCTACTGCTGATTTACTTTGAGGAGAAGAGGAATAAAAAAAAGATGAAGTACAATAGTAAACGCAAATGACACACTGTCTGACAATTCGTATCGTCAATATACCGTTCGTTAATTGGACTCTGTACATTAAGTTTCCGCATGTGGGCGATGTCCTCGTTTTCCCCAGGTGTCAGCCACGTTAAACCTCATTCTCGTAGCCCTCGAGGAAGTCCCTCCAAAGGGCAGATCTCCAGTCAGCATGTACAATAGATTATCGAGGGTAATGAAGAAATGAGGTGGACAGGCGATTGGTGAGACTGAAGAAATTGGTAGGACTCGGCCAACGGAGAAAGTGCGAGGTAAAGGTTAGAGAAGTTAGAAGACGACATCAATTCTTAACAACAATATAATTCAACGAGGCAAAGATAGGCAAAGGTAAGCAAAGCTGTACTGCAATTAACCTTGGCCTCCAGTTATTTATCTATACATTTTATTCCAGTTGGAATGATTTCTCAAGGAATGACAGCTTCGGGACGGATAAATCCTGATCTGGAGATTGGTGAAAAATAGTAATGAATCCGGTACCAGATATCATAGATTTGCAAATGGATTTTACGAGCTCAGTATCTATATTCACTTGCGGAACTGACGAGTCGGAAGCCCCCCCTCTAACTGGTAACACCGGTTAATGTGGTACACTGACCTACTCTCGAGGCTTGAAGGCAGAAGCCGAGCCACCACCAATTCTCCCTTCCACTTTCAGCATAATACACCAGCAAGGTGGGGAATACCTCCGTTGCTCAGTCATCCTCACCGTCCTCCCATCGTCCTCTTCCCTTCTCATTCAGTCCTTGTTATCCATCCATCTCAATTTACCTCTTTCAATATTTGTCCACCTTGAAAATGGTCTTTGACACTATTCCGCGATGAATAAATTGGGCCCTATCCGGTGGGACCACTCCAAAGAAAAACAAGTACTTTTTTAATTTATCTCAATTTATTCTCACAGGCAAAATGACTCGTGACCATCGACAGCCGATAGTCAACTCCATCATTTCATGGGACATTTTTCACTGGAGCATACGGTGTTCACCCCCTTGCATCCCCCCATTTTATGCACCCCACTACTTATTTAGCAGGGACATGGATGGAAGGAGTGTTATTACGCTCGAAGGAGAAATTTCACCGCAAAGTTAGCCCGTGACTCGATCTTTCTTTTTTTTTTCCGTTTTTCCTATCTAAACGCCTGTCGTTTGGTTTTATATTTTACGGACTGTATTAGCGAGAAGGTGTAATAATTAGATGAATAGGTGGTAGGAAGGGTTTATGGTGGAGTTTCTGGTGGATTTTATGATGTTGAATTGGTACGAGGAGTGAGTGAAATGTTTTTTGGGTTAAGGAAGATCCTCTTTATGACACGGTCAACCAAGTACCCGTTACCAAGGCTCAATGCTTGGCATGAGCTCTTTGGTACCGTGGCCCCACTGACATCGTTTCCCGCCTACTTCACCGCTCAATTTCAAAATACACCAATGAACGAGTCGTCTTTTTGGTTGTTAAATATTTGGCGATTGTACAGTTACTTACATATGAGCAGCGTGGTATCCAGAGTGGTATTTTTGTTGTCCGCGGGACCTCCTCGTGCTAATTTATCCACTGAACGAGACACTGTCACCAGTGATATTTACTTGATATCCCGGTCAATCCTGAATCACTGGGGAGAGCCAATTTCATTGATATAACTCTATCAAGACTATCAAATCCCTAACGATGTGTCACTTCAGTCCGAGTCAGTCCACATCAAGTCCACAGTATTCAAATTTAACTTCACCTTTTATCCAAATTCTCTTCGTTTATTTCCAAGTGTCTCTCCAACAATTCACCGATTTGTAATAATCTACCTCCAATGAATCACAATGAACAACAGCCCAAAACAATTTCGATGTCCCTTCAGCCACTCCGCTGTCATATAATTCAACATCACCTGATTGTGACGTCAAAAAACCAGACGAAATCACAAAAACACTCGTCGCTGACCGATTAGATCCAACCAGATGAATTCACAAAAACCACTCCAAAAAAAAAGTAAAACAAATAATGAAAAAAAAAAAAAAAAACGAGACCAATAGAATAATCAGGGCATACCGGCCAGCCGGGAGATTATTTCTCAAAAATCCCCTGAAGAGTTCCTTGCACAAAGTTTCCTTCCACTAGGTTCCACCTCTCTCAAAAAAACAAATAAAAATAAAAAATAATTGATATTGAATATTCTCTGATTGCTCTAGCCGCGTGGACATTTGATACGAGTAGAGGATTTCGGGGATCGTCAGCCGCGGGAGAGAATTCCACTAATTTTCTAAAATTAGGCGAAGGAGAAGAAGAAGAAGCGAACTGGATGGCCTGTGGGCCCTTACTGTGAGGGGCCTTACGTTGTGTGAGCGGGCAGAGACCCCTACTTCGTTGTCAGGCCTCCGACCAGGAAAGGCATGGGACGTTTGGAACGCACGGGCGGGACAGCCCCCTCCCTTTCATCTACTTTAACTTTAACTTGGCGCTACTTCGATGCCACTCTTCCTGGTTGGTCTCTCCCCTCACCTTATACCTCCCCCCCTCTCCCACTCCTCTCCCAACCATTACACTCTCTCTCACTCTCATTCACTCATTATCAATAAATACCTCTCTCTCCTCCTACTTAGCTCCTTCTTCAGCAACCTCGTGCTCTCCCCATCCACCTCCCACAATCCACCACCATCACCATCACCAACACCATCGCCATCGCCACCATTGCCACCACATGCCTCCCAACATCTCTCATCACCTTCCGCTTCCTCATCTCCATTTATCACATCCACCCTTATCACTAATAAATAATCAAAACTAAATTCAACTCTCATTATCATCCTCATTAGTACTTGGTGACTTACTCCCTCATGAACGTCGATTATTACAGATTATGGCTTGAAAGAATTTTTTTTTGTCTGGGAAACTAATTTGTGGAGCTGTAATTGAGGCTCGGGCGTTAATGGAAATGAGTAATGAATGACGTATTGATGAAAACATTAGGATTCTAGGTGTTGTTGGTGATCAATGCTCGTTATTCGGCAGTGGATTTTGTGCTATTATGGAAGAATTATGGGGAATATTTTGAGGTGATCTGGGGATCAACGGGATCAGGCGGATCATGGGATTGCATGAGACTTCGTGTTCTAGTCCCCATTTTGACACTAATTGGCAATGAATTTCGTCATTCTATTATGGCTGCCTAATTCACCGGTGCGAACCTCATTGGTTAATTGTAATTACGCCTTACGCATTGAATGATGTGGAAGTTTTTACCACCACTCGGGTCAGTTTGTTAAGGGATTCTCGTACGCTTTCAGCACATACTTCGTCATGCTCTTTTATCACACTTTTAAACACGCATTGCTGCTATCCACGATCCTCAGTCGTCATCCGCTAATTCTCATTGCAGTTGCTAATAAAAATTAATTCATTTCTTGAGCCATTCTTCTTGGAATGACGTACAAAGAGTTTCGGTTTATGATGAGGGGAAAAAAATGGTCACTATATTTTCGAGCCCTTTGAAACCGTTACCCACGATTCGTGCCACTTGGTCCTGAACACGGAAGTGGAAAAAAAAAAATTCTGTTATTTTTTTTTTCGCCCAGAATCAATGCAACCGATGGGTCGAACGGTATTTGGAGGTGAAAAAAAAAATCCGCTATGGGGGATTTGTAGGGTCGACCTTGACGAAAAGCCGGAGTGTTTTTCTGATTTGCCTTTTTTTTGGGGGTGTCCAGTGTGTAGGGGTTAATTGGCGCGTTTTTCTTCGAAAAAAAAAATCGGGGGTATGGAAATTATTTCGAATTTCGGTAATCGTGTTGTGTATGAGCTTTTATTTTTATTTTTATTTTTATTAATTTTAAATTAGTTTTCAGGAGAATTTCATGGAATTTTCGCCGAAATTTCGCCTGAATTTTAAATATTAATATTAATATTAATATTAAATGACAGTATAATTTAATAACAATAATAAATATGATTTATTATGATCATTATTATAATTATTATTATTCTTATTATTATTTAATATCAATGTTAAACTTGTCTGATTCACCTTAAATTCTTGAAATTTTTGTTTTCTTGTCAAATTCTTGAAAATTTTTTGAAAATTCAAGGAATTAAATTCCTTGAATTTTCAAAAAATTCAATTTTTCAGTCGATATTTTAACTTTAATCTTCTCTATTTTTCAATTCCTGCAATTTTTGCAAAAATCGAATCGACAAAATTTCAAGAATAAAACAATAATGATAATAGAATGACAAGTTGTTAGTTTTTGGTTACACTTTCGTTGTCGTGACTGGTAGTGCCGTTCGCTCTCTGCACTAGACCGAGTACTTGTTAACTACTTTCTGCTAATTTCCACGTGTAGAGAGACGCAATTTTTTTGCCAACCGATTTACAGAAGCAATTGGGGGGGTGGGCAGGGCACAGGGGTCCAAAATATTTTGACAGGGCTTCGCGCTAGTCCGACCCTTGACCGAGACGAAAGCGATTTATGACAGTAAAGGTGGAAGCGACCGTACCTTTTGCAGAGAAGGACCCGCACATTTACTTTACCGTTAGGACCAAATTGCTAGGCCATTTTATTACTGCCAATAAAATGACCCAACTCTCTGACTCCTCTTCCCCGGAGGCATCCCCCACGTCAAAATCAAAAATTGAGGAATCCCACTCCTGAACTGAACTGATAAGATTTATCTTATCACCAACATCGGCGCAGAAAATATTCAATTTTCAAAAATATTATTACCAAAAACCCCTTCATTCTTTTTATGCATTGAATAAATACTTACCGTTATTATTCTCCCACATCCCTTATTTATAAATCGGCAATTGCAATTGTTCATCAATTACCCCAGAATTCCCGAATTAGTGAACAAAAAAAAATCGTATTATTAAATAAAATAAAGGTATTTCCAGATTAAAATATTCTGAATTTGATATAATTTGAAAAACCATTGACCTAAATAATTCAGATATTCTCCTTTTTTTGTTATTAAAAAATGATGAAGTATTTTTTTTAAAGATCTATATGAAATTTTCTGCAATTTGGAGCCGCGGAGAGGTGAAAAAAAAATGATGAAGAACCGCCGAAAGCGGATTCTCATTGGCCCCGTAGCCCAGAAGTCTGTTGTAGCACGCGCTGCAACGTGCCAACATGTGTGAGACATACTATCGAAACGAGACCCTTGAATGACAATTCCCACCTTGAGTCTCGTGCATGCCACGAGTTGTCCAACAATATCCACAGTAATATCGAAAAATTTACGAGGGTCGTGCGCCAGAACTTTCCCCCAAGCAAATCGCCAGAACACGTGTTGCTCCAGGTAATATTGCCCAATATATTCATCGTCAACTATTCTCAAGTCCTGGCATACGTTCATCATTTTCCAACACACGTGGCTGTCTCCACCTCGACCCAATCCTCAACATTCTCACAATATCCTCACAATATCCTCACAACATCCTCAAGACATCCTCAAAACATCCTCACAACATCCTCACAATATCCTCACAACATCCTGATGTCTCACACGTGTTTTTGCACGCGACTAGTACAGCCTTGACGAGAGCAACTCAGCAATAGATCACCATAAATATTTCTCCAGTAATAAACAACGACATTCACCCCCGTCGCACTATCCAAGCAATAAAAAATCTGAAGGATAGATTACAATAAGTGCCAGTGTCCTTTGAAAAATTGGACGAATGGTCCATAAGGAAGTGATTATACGTTATCTCCAGGTGCAGCGATTAGAAAGCAATTTCAGCATCTCGTCCAGTTGTTCAAGGCAATGATCGTGGAGTTTTACACGACTTGGTGATTGTCATTCGATATTTCAATTGCATATTTCACATGCGGAAGAGGAATTGGCGTTGGATATGGGGAGCGGTGTTGGTGTCGATAGCTGGGGATGGACCACCCGGAAGGAGTTGCCTCCCTTGAGGACAATGGGGACAAAAGAAATACCGCCAGGAAAAGAATTCTCAGTCCATCGAACCCGGCAGTAACATCTTTCCCCATTCAACCCGTGAAAATCATTTTAAAACGGAGCATGTCTAATCAACGGGGGCGACTTTTTTTCATTCGACTCACCTTTACTCCCCGAGACCCCTAACACCTCAATATTCACCATAACATCCATTTTTTTTTTGCTTCACGCTTTAATCTACAGTTTTCAAAATATTTTGGGAATATTTTGAGATGTCTATTAGACACGCCGGTGCTCTCCAAAGTATTTGCACGAATTTTCCATTTTAAATTTAGAATATTCTAAAATTTGTTGAAGCATTGGAATTCAGAAATTGGAATTTTTTGGAGATTCAACGGTTTGAATTCAATTCAAATTATAAACATTCGTTAAATCCTCTAATTCCAATCGATCGATGAATTGATTACCCGGTAAAAATGATAAACTGAATTTTCGTGGAAAATGAAAAATTCTTTCACCTGAAAATTCAGACGCAATTTTCCAGTAGGGAGTAATTACAGTTTATATAATATATGAGATAGTCTTGAGATCGGTAACGACTTGCGTACTTATGCGAGAATATTAGGAAAAACTGTAGCAACAGTTGGTGGCTTTAATAACGAGGTTTATGCGTTAACCACTTTGTTATTGTGGAGGTCTTTTAAACGATCATGAACACCCACCGGAAGCTAGTCTGCCTCGTGAAGATAATAAAAATAATAATAAAACGAAAGGGCGTGATTGGGTATATTCAAGGATAGTATCTCATTCCGGAAAAACTTAGTATATAGAATAAACCAAGTGGTGGAAAAATAGTTGGCACTTGGAATAGTGTCTCGAGCGATTTACGAATTTATTGGCGTGACTAAATGCTGTTGGCCGCTGTGCGGTCCCACTTTCCGCAAACGAGACCCCAAAAACCTTTTGTAATTTACCTCCACTCATTCTCTCTCTCTCACCTGGTGGCGAGAGTCCATCAAATGGCCACAGGTAAAGTGTAAAGAAACTTTTGCGACATCCAAGGGTAAGAAGTCATAAATATAACGAATGAATTGGTACAGAGAGGCAGGAGTAACTAGACCTAGCTATTCGCCCCCAAATATTCGTGAAAATTTTTATTTACGGTGGTTTACTGGAGAACGCACTGTGGCCACTGGATAGCTTCCTCCCTTTCTCTCTTATTTTTAAATGTTCACTCGGTCTCATTTTACTGTTCCATTTACAACCACTTGTTCCTGCACCTTGCTCATTCACCAAATACGATTGATCCTACCTGTCGTAAATTTTTATAAATTTCTGGTCTATTCATGTGTCACCTTCATTCTCAAGGTCACTCGCGGTGTTCGCTGAGTAATTATTTAATTGCATCATTTTTAACGATGAAAATTGTCGCGGAAAGGAGTAAAGAGGAAAGAGATTATTCAAATTCCTTGAAGGACTTGTTCTCAATCCGAAAATATTCATCATATTTATCATTATTACAGAAAAATTCAATTCATCGATAATATTTACTCCATCGGACTAACTATTTTATAACTGATTCACTAATTTGCCATAATTAATAATAATAATAAACCAGTGGCAAAAAAGTGGAAATGGATTTTTTTTATAAATATATAATAAATTCGGTTTAATCTTTATCAGAATTTCCAGAATTAGCAAAAAAATTTTAATACTGCGGCTGAAATTGTTCCTAATTAGTGAATCATGATTTGTATTGAAGATTTATTTATCTGGTATATTTCACTGATTGCGGGATAACGTGAGAAGTAATGGTTTTAATTGGAAAAAGTTGGATAAAGTGCATGAAGCACGTTGTGCACTCGGCCTTGCCAAGGCCTTTTCAAGTCACTTGATCGTACTTCCCCTCGCTTTTACGTCCAAAGAGAAATAAACCTATGTACTCTCCTCTGACACGACTGTGCCACACTCACCCAATCATCCACACACATGAGCCCCACATATTTACTATTATATACTATCCACAGGTGGAATTCCCCCCCGGTGGAGTCAAATACCTGGTCACGTATTACGGTGTGTGAGTTTTAATGAACGATGGATTTATCAAGACCAACGCTCGGCTGTTGCAAAAAAAAATATGTAAAAATAGAGAATAAAAAAAAATCACTCGCCATGTTAGCACCAGCAAACCGCAGCAACAATCCGTTACACACTCATGAACATGAGTCGTTACATAAAAGCGCATACATGAACCCCACGAGACTTTTCAAAATAATTGGATGCCCGATGGGTGCAATAATTTTCAGACGATATGTACACCTCAATATCACCTAGACATCTCACCGGTGATAATAATAATACTGATATTTAAAATAATCTAATAATTTATTAATATGTTTTATTATAAACTATATGTTAAATTTATAAATGATATGGGGTGGATAGTATATTATGGAAAAATTATCTCCACACTGACTGGATTAGATCGATTGTTAATGCAGGATTTAATATTATTATAATAAATTTGATATTATTATAATATTGTTAATGTTATTAATATTATTAATACTGTGTTAGTATTTTAATTTATGGTTAATCATTCATAATTGTCAATTTATGTTCTTCTGAATGTTTGAAATTAAATTTTGTTATTACTAATGATGGCCGCATAGTTGCCCCAGAAAATAGTTTTTTGAGTGAATATTTTAATAGTATTAATGTTATTAATGTTGTGTTAGTATTTGAAGTGATCGTAAATAATTCTTTTAGGAGTCAAAATGGGGACAATTTCTAGAATATATATCGATAATTATTGATAATTTAATCGGGATAATCTTGAGAACCTTTGACAATTATTAAAATCGATTTTGAAGTTCGAAAGCGGATGAAAAAATATTTCTAGATGAAGATCGTTTTCACGTTTTGCACTATTTAACATCCGGATCGAAAACAACAGTGGGTCAGGGGATAAATCCGGTGATTATTTGGGGTACGGTTTTGATGGGAATCGGGGGATTGATCGGTAGGCACTGGTGATGGGAGTTGTACGAATTTATTCGATCTGTTTGTCTTGCTCGGTGATAATTTCCTTGTTTCAACCGGTGGCAGACTCCATCGCAAAAACGTCGTTTTGTCCTGTTTACCAAGTGGGCCGATCGAGATGGAGAGTAAACCCGAGAGTCTGAGAAAACTAGAGAGCTTCGTGAGTAGAGAAAAAATATTTTCAACAATTATTTATTAATCTCGTACTTATTTTTGTGGCTTCAAAATCGGATCACTCCACGCGATCCTCATTACCTTTCCATGATTATTATATTACTCTAGGTGATAATTATATTATGAATGACCTTGAATTGACTACTTGCATGTACCGGGGAAAACAATTACTCCCACTAATTGAGTTTACTTCTGCCAATCAAATCACAAGTGATTATTTTTCAGAATCGCGAATTTCTGGAGATAGGGATTTGGAGATTCCTAGGGCTAGGACAAATCGTTTTTGAGAAGATCTCAAAAACCGATGGTCACAAATCGGAGGGCCGTGACAAACGGTAAGAACGAAAATACGATTTTCGAATTCTGGATTTTCCAATGGCTTCTGTGTCATGCTTAAATTAAATTTGAAGAGACGTGAAATAAAAAAATGGTACTTATGTATGAATTTTAATGAATATATTCATGGAATTAGTGATACGTCGGAGGGTTTTTAGCAACTATTTGGATTGTTACTGCGATTGTTGTACAATTTTACAGAACGTGAACATTAAAACTGATTTTCATGAGAGATAGAATCATGTAACTGGAATCCAAAATTCGTACGACAACGAAAAGTAATTAATTAATTACATAATTTATTTAATCTTCAAGCACTGACTGTGA